TCCTGCTGATTTGACTGTTGGGCAGTTTGTTTATGTGGTTCGTAAGAGGATAAAACTCAGTGCTGAGAAGGCTATTTTTATATTTGTCAAGAACATTTTGCCACCCACTGGTAAGAATAATGATCCAAAGATGTTTCATATATACTATAAATACCATCATCTAATGACCTATTTCTCAACATATGTTTGGTTTTGTGCTATTGCAGCTGCCATGATGTCTGCAATCTATGAGGAAAACAAAGATGAGGATGGTTTCCTTTACATGACCTACAGTGGCGAAAACACATTTGGTTAATGCCAGTGCAGTCAAGTTGATATGTAAATAAGACTTTTAAGAAGGATGAAAAATTTGTAAATTCTCGGATTTCAACTTCTGCTATTGCAGTCCCAAATTTGAGGTTGCTTTTCTTATAATGCCTACTGTTAGAAGTTGGATCTATGACCTTATGCTGGAAATATCATATGGTTAATCCTTCTATGAGTTCAGTGAGTAAATTGTCGAATGCGTGATGTTTATTTTTCTTTCCAATTGTTCATGTTTTGCGTTCGTGTTTGATGATTTCCTACCTAGAGTGCAATGATGTCTATTGAATGTGCTTGGTACTCAAACCCTACTGCAGATTCAATCTCTTCTTAAAGTGATTGAACCACACTTTACTCCACCATTAGTGCTTGAACAACACTTTACTCCACCATTCCTTGCATTCTCATTTAAGGTTGGTAAAACACGACACAACTTCTCATTCTTTGAAGGACAACGAAATGCCACCAGCTGGTCCTGATCAACAAGGTTGAAATCTGATACCTGTCTGGCGACTAGGACCAGACTGACGGCCACCAATGAAAATGGACAAACAGTCATGTCTCATGCTTTCGCAAGAGGCGATGACAATTATGTAGAGCTTTGGAAAGTTTAGTCGTAGAATGACTTGCACCATCATAATCATTCTATTTCCCAAGTTTCTTATGCTCTTCTAAAATATATTCTTATAGTTACAGCTGAACAATACCAGTTGCTTATGGACTTGTAAGCTCATCAACAGCGAAGACACTATTTTAATCACGATGTGAAAAATAGTAACAGCTGAACAATACCAGTTGCTATAGTTACAGCTGAACAATACCAGTTGCTTACTAACATTCTTTTCTATATACAAATTGCTGATAAATCCCAAACCCACATGAGCAAATCGGAACATGTAGGACACCACATGCCTCAGTTGTATATATAATTATTCCATCCTCATTCATCCCAAATTCTCTCCTAGCGTGCCAGAAACTCCACGACTGCAAAAACCAAAAATCATATATCAATCACTTAAATCATGCGACAGCGAATGATTTAAAGATAATTAGACAACATAATCCCTAAAATATAATAGAGTAATACTACAAACAGTAGACCACGCAACAAAATAAAAAAAGGTGACATACACAAAAAAAATGTGACTTTGGACTCTTGAGTAAGAATGTATCTTGACAAATAAAGGGGCGTTTGGTATCCTATTCAAATAGGGAACTAAAAAACTTTAATTTTTCTTAAAAATAAAGAGTTCTTAAATCTATTTTTAAGATTCAAAAACTTATTTGGCATGCAACTTGAAAACTGTTTTCAAGTTTTTAAAATTTGAGAACTTGTGGGTTGTTAGAAAAAAAAAATTGAAAAAACAGATTTTTGTTTTGTTTTTAATAATTGAGGTGTTTTTTTAGTTGTTCTTGAGTTTGAGTTTTTAAAAATAGGGTTACCAAACAAGTTTTCATTGTTTTGGACTCAAATTTTGTTTTTGAGTTTAAAATGTTGGATTCAAGTTGAATACCAAACATGCCCTAATGCTCTCAAAATTCCATATTACAATATAAATCACTTGAAACATTATTTTGAAGGAAAAATTTCTAAACTCAATTGTTATTACATTTGATAGGTGAGGACTTTTTTGTCCATGGTTTGATTCTTTAAATGTCTCTTACTAACATGAAGAGTTGTAATGAGAACTACACTAATGAAATACAATCAAAAAAACTATTTATAAAGGGCATGTTCAAAGTACTTTACAAGTAGATATGCATTTATTAGTGCACACAAAGTTGATCAAAGCACTCTTTCTTCTTTAACATTTTAAACTGCTTTATTACAATAGTTTTTTTCCTTCAAAACTTTAAAGAAAAAAAGAATAAAAGTCGAATTCGTGTGAAAATAAATGCTCTACCACTAAAACTAAAAATTTACGAGAATTATTGTAATGGTTGAATTGTTTAAATATACATATTAATAATTGATTAAATAAAAAAATTAAATCGAAAAAGTAAAACTTACTACGACGAGTACGCTTCTTGTACAAGACAGTGTAATCGCAGTGACGGCACTGAACCTTTTCGTTTGGCTTCAAAGGGACTTCCTCCCCACAACCTACAAGTTCACATCACAAAATAAAAAAAGGCTTGCTTTTTCATGTTTCCAAAAAATTATTTTCTTTCAATTTTTCTAGCGGATTTTCTCGGGAAACACAAGGAAAAGTGGGTAAATTTTCTCGGGAAACAAAAGGTAAAGTGGGTACCTCCGCAGATGTACTTGACTTGCTCTGGCTGAGGCTGAGGATCCATGATCGATGAGGGTCAGCTTCTAGGGTTTGTGACTTGACTGTTTCCTAAAGGTGAAAACCTAAACGGTAAATATTTATAAGCAAAACAGAAGCCTGATATTTGTACTTCCCTTTTTTTTTTTTTTTTTTAAAAGAAGCAAAGTCCTAAGAAACAACTGACTCTCACGCATACTACAAGTTACAACTGCTATTTTTTTTTTTCCAGCTAATTTGGGGATACCATAACTAGACTGCAAATTAAGTTAAAATTATTAACCTTCGCATGTCATTAATGATTAATCTGGCCTCCAAAATAAGTTATTAATTATAATCCTCACATGTCACTTTTTTTTTTTTTGGGTAAATACCACGAGGTGTCCTCACACCCGAAGTGTGGAATTAATCTCCGCTCTGGGTTCAGTTTGCCCCTGGCTACATTCATAATTTTGACTAATTAATATTCTGCCATTTTAGGCAGGTGATCTTGGCTCTTCAACAAGGATTAGGCAATCAACACGAAGTATCAATTACCATAAGTGATAAATTAGATCTATAGTTAATAATGTGGCATCCATAATTGATCCAAAAAAAGATATATAAGTTAATATTACAATATCATGATGAAAACAAACACCATCAAGGAAGATGAAACAACAAGAGTCTCTTTTAAGCCATCAAAGCTTTTATTATATGCTCTGTAATAATTTATAATAATATTTTTGTATAGTTGAATATCATCCTCAGCAAATTCCAGGCAAGTTGTCCCAAGAGCTAGAGGCTTTGCCATGCTCTGCTGTGGCTGTAACAGGGAACAATGCGGCCATATGCTGCTGCATGTCAAAATCCAAACAAGCATCCGTTACGCCGGAAGAGTGACCGTTGGAGAGCTCTCCACTGTCGCTATACCAATCGGAGATGGGCTCGGTGGAAGGGATGAAACTGAACAGCTTTGACAAATCTTCAGGCAGTGAGCTAATTTGATCATCCTGGATTGGCTTTGCTTCTGGCATGTATTGACAGAAAAGGTCATTATTATGAAAGTCAGATTAATTAACAAACAAATTAAGAAAGAGAAAATGGCTCCTAGCAGAGAGAGAAAGAGAGAGCACAGCCTTTAACTAGGCTTTGCAAATATGATGAAAGATGAGCATGCGACGAGCGGTAAACTCAGACATCCTCGGTTCCAACCCTCAAATGCGCAAAAACTTACAAGGATAAGAGAAGTTGAGAATAAATTTAAAAGATAGAGAAGTCCACTCTAGAGGCAGGGGCAGTTAATCTGCACCATCTAAACCATCACTTACTCAAAAAGGGGCGAAAAAGAAAAAAAAAGAAAAGACATGCGCACACGCTTCACACACAAAGTCTCCATATTCGAAATATGGAAATGTGTGGACATCAAGGCTTTACCTAAAGATGCTAATGACACACAAAGTTTTCCACTTCAGAAGATGATTTTACTTGTTCATTATCACTAATATTAGAAAATCAAATCATAATTCATTTTGGGGAATCTGAGGATATGAACTTTGACAATTGAGATGTTAATGCGTCTAAGCTGTTTTTAGTGTCACAAACCATAATTGAAACATAATTTTTTTTTCTTTCACAACGCACTCAATTTAGAAAAACTTTTGTGAAACAGAATTTCATTATTTTGCTATCCCGAGCAATAATGGTATGTCACGTGTGATAACTTTTCCACTTACAATAATTGGTCGGGATAGCAAAACAGTGCTAATTCCCGTTCCACACAAATGTTTCTCCACTCAATTATGTGGTAGTGAAGCTAGCAGTTGAAACGCATTAAAAAGAACCAAAATCAAAGCAGATCAAAAGGAAGTTAAGGCTTTAGAAAGCATCAAAAGCCCAAAAAAAACAGCATTTGATGTGTCTGACTCATGAAATTGCATGCACACAGTGAAACAGAGCATTTAAGCACAAACAAGCAGAAACAGAGCATTTATGATGAAAACCGAAATTCAATCACAAAGAAACAAGAATAACAAAATTAACAAAAAACCAATACTTCACCTAATAACGAGCCCTCCATGGAGCTTGTAGACTGCAGCCATCGGGTATAATTATCCAATACATGCTTCTCCTCAAATGAACTGAATAGCCCATTTGCTCTCTTTGAAGGATTTCCACCACCACAAGCTAATACCTCAGCTTCTTGTAATAAGTCCTCCAACAACCCATTACTGCTATGGGCCTGGCTGGCGGATAATGCTGCTGCTGCCGCTGCCGAGATTACCTTGGTATCAATGGTAACCTCAGACTGCGTTTGGGATACTTGGCTTGAAGGGAGCTCCGACTTGACCGAGTAAACTGAGCCAGTAGATGACAAGAAACTCTCAGAGTACTCGAACTGGGTTCGCGACGATGGCAATGGCGGTAAAGATGGGTTCAAAGTCCGCGGGAACTGAAAGGCGGCACTCTCAGGCATTGAATTGGTGCTTGTTAAGTGAGAAGAGGCAATGTCAGGCATTGAATTGGCGCGTAGAATGGAAGTACTTCTTTGCGGGGTTGGGGAGACTGGGGGGGAGAATCCGACAGAGTCACGGTACCGTTTGTAGCGTACCGGGGCTCCGAGGATGGGGGCGGGACGGTGGAAGGTGAAGGAGGAGAAGGAAGAGGTGGTGGTGGGGTTGCTGGGATCAAAGAGAGGGAGGGAAGTGAGAGTAGTGGACTTGGGATGGTGTGGGGAGGAGAGAGGAGAGAGAGATGGTGGAGTGGGAGAGAGTGAGTGCAGATGATGGGCTTGGATTGGGCTTTGGATTTGGAAGGAAAAAGTTGGGGTTGTGCAATTGGTGGTGGATTGGAAAGGGTTTTGGATTGTGGTTGTGGGTAGGGATCGGGAATGGGAATGGGATTGTTGGGATTGTTTAATGTCATTGGGATATAGCGGTAGGCCTTGGCGTTGCCTCCTCTTCACCCTCGTGTTCCAGTAGTTCTTTATTTCGTTGTCTGTTCGCCCAGGTAACTATACAAAAAAGAACAGAAACAATCAGATTAGATGCTCTCTGGAGAAGTTTCTGTTTCACAACAGAAAATTAAAGCAAAAGCCATAGCAGTTTTTTTTTTCCTCCAAAAGCAGGGGAAGAAGCCAAATGAAATCTGTTTCCAGAGCAAAAAAAGGCCAAACCCAGCAGCATTTTGTTTTCCAAAACAAAAACATGGGCACAAGAAATCAAAAACACAGAAATGAAATGAGGAAATTATCATGAAAAATGAAAACTCATTTGTAGTTACCTGAGAAGCCATGCGAGCCCATTTGTTGCCATACTTGGCGTGCAGCTCAAGAATGAGCCTCTCTTCATCAGGAGAGAAGGCACCTTTCTTCAAGTTGGGACGGAGATGATTGGCCCAACGGAGCCTGCAGCTCTTGCCGCAGCGATTGAGGCCAGAGTTCCTCTGCACCGCGTTCCAATTGCCCTCGCCGTGTTTCCTCACATACTCCATCAAAATCTGGTCCTCCACCGCGGTCCATGGACCTTTCTTCAGACCCTTGCTGCCCTCCACCACGTCACCACCACCTCCTCCGCCGCAGCTCAATTCCTGCGGCGACCTTCCCTCGCTCTGCTGTAGCAAACCGCTGTTGTTGTTGCTGCTGCTGGGTGTCATTATCAATGAAATAGAGAGACCAATATCAAAGATAGATTCTGGTTGGCCCAGCAAGTCAATATCACACACAACCCAGGCAGAAATTGTATATAATTGCAAAGAAAACTATTTGAGCTGCACTTTTTTGTGTCCCCCACTTGCTTAGTTTTTCTTTGAATTTACATATTAATTATGCTGCCCTTTCTATTGGTTATGTTGATGAGTTTCTGTGGGTTTTTTTCGTTTTTTTGATAGCGGTATTGGGTTTGACAGAGACCCCTCTCTGCTCCTTTGTGATAAAGAAACTTTATTGTAGCACTACTCCAACAGTTTAGAGCTTGTTGGGGTCGGAGTATGAGGAGAGAGAGAGGGGCGGAGGAGGAGGAGGAGGTGGTTGTGGTGGAAGAAGCCTTCCTTTAGCCTATAGCACCCGGAAATCAGATGAGCGGTGAGAGACGAGAGATGGGTTGTTGTTGTTGTTTGTGCAGTGGAGGAAATGTAAAATGTATTTGTTTAGAAGACTACTTGTGAGACACCGAGCTGTAACATAATTTTTCAAGGGCTCCTCATATTTTTTGGGCAATTGGTTTTTTCATCACATGACACAAAATCTTCTTCTAGGCTTTGCTGGTACCTTGGGGTGTCTTAGCAATTGTCAGTTCATTACTGTGGTAAAAATGGTAAAGACAGATGGGTTTTGGTTATTTTGGGGGAAGTGGGTAAAGTGGCAGTTCAAGATGGCCATTTCGTTCAGATTTGGGAGTTAGCTAAGACGGCGCCGTTTTTCAGAGGTTCAGTACAAACTACAACCCACTGGACCTTTTTGACACCCACGGCCTGGACGCGGAGCCCTCATGGCCTCTGCAATATTGCTGTAAAAGTAAAAAACTTATAAATCTCCTACTCATTTATTTGGATAAAACGAAGCTAATTAAAAAAGAAGAAGATAAAGATTCACTTTTAGAAGTAAGTCTTAGCCGTATTAATGAAGTGTTTACAATGTCCAAAATGTGATATGTATACCATTGCTTGGAATATGATTAGGAATTAAAATTAGGCTTATTTACTGTAGCGCCCCCTGAAACTCTAGTCAAATCTTACTTTGCCCCCTCAAAGTTAAAATGATCCACTTTGCACCCTTACCAAAGTTTGGTGTCTCACATTGCCCACTGCCGTCAACTCCATCTAAAAGTCCGCTAAGTTTGATGACATGGCAAGAGTATATTTGTAATTTCTTACACATTGATCATTTACCACCAATCTATGTGGGCGACGTGGCAAAGTGGAGCTCACTCCACTATGAACAAAATGTTAATAAAAAATCTTTCACATTTAAATATTTTAAAATATATATATATAAATTAATTAAACAACACAAAAAAATAACATAAAATTGAAAAAATAAAAAATAAAAGAAAAAAATAAAAGCAAACCCTAAACCTAGCCCCCACTCGCCCCAGCCGCCTCCATACCCATCCACTCACTTTCTAAATATAGTACATGAAATCTTTGATTTTGTTGAAAGTAACTTTTGTTCTTTTCCAATTTCTATCCAAATGGTAATGCATATTCATCGTGACATTGAAATAACCTTGGCCGCGACTGTATTTTGTCTGAGATTTTGTCGGCAAGCTTCCAGCGATGGATGGTCGAGCTTCGTACTGGCATAAGGCACCACTCATCCATACCCGCGACCCAACCCCCAAACTCCCCTATCCTCTCTCTCTCTCTCTCTCTCTCAGCCCCCCAAGACCCAAACCCTCTTTGTATATGTTTCTCTTTACCTGTGTGTGTGTGTCTCTCTCTCTCTCTCGCACACCTAGCCCCCCACGACCCAAACCCTCTCTATCTATGTTTCTCTTTCCTTCTGTGTCTCTCCCTACCGTAGTAGCTCGCGGAGTAGGGAGCCAAATCTGCTTGCGGTGGTGCGTGGGCTAGGTGGAAGATCTGGGTTGGCTAAGTGGAGATCTGGGATGGGTTTTCTGAGAGATAAAGTGGTGATGTGGGCTGGGAGTGGTGGTGGTGCTGCTGTGGAGAAGATGATGACTCTTGTTTTTGTTTTTGTTTTTGTTTTTATATTTTAAATTTTTTTATTTCCAATAATTTTGTTTTTCTATATTTTCATTTGTATTTTTTTGTTGGGATTGTATTTATTTTTAGGATTACCTACAATTTAGCCCATAGAGGTTTAGTGTTAGTATCGAAATGGGCCCCAAGGTTTCAATTAAATCAATTTCATACCCGACATTTCAAAGTATTACCAATTTACACTCGCCATTACATTGACCGTCAAAGTCATACGTTAAATGCTGACGTGGCAATTGTGGGACCCACTTCATAACCAAACAGCATTTAGAAAGAGACCAATATGGGACTCACCCACTAACCAATTCTAAAAAAAAATTATATCAAATAAAAAAGCATTAAGAGAAAAAACCAACCCAGCCCCTTCTCTATTTCCCACGCCGACCCATCATCAGCCGTCACTTCCTCCATTTCCTCAGCTTATTCTCAACCTCTTCTGTCTACCCACTCGTCTGCCCCAACAGAACCTAACCAACAACCCACCCAATCGCACCCAAACCACAACCCGACCCACCCTACCCCTGACCATACAACCCTAGCAACAATCTCATCGCATCAAAATTACACATAACAAACAAAAATGGAGAACCCCACCTGTAGGCCCAACCCTTACGATACAATATGTAAATCTTACGATACAATCTGTAAATCTTAGGCAAGCGTTGGCGGTGGCACAAGAGGGAGGCATTGACGGTTGGCGATGTTGGCTCATGGATATTATGAGTAGTGGCAACCATCGAAACAACCTCCTCTCTCAAGGAAAAGATAAAACAACCAAATCATCAAAACACACAACACACTCCACCATCAAAACAAAACAAAATCACAATAACCAAATCCTTTTTCTTTTTTTCTTTTTTATATTTATAAATCTCACTCTAAAAAAATCACCATAAATAACCCATTTCCTGCAATATCTCTGCATCTATCCATGGTGGGTCTGCATCTCTCCATCCTCTACATCCTAGCTCTTTTTGCATCTATCCACGTCTTCCATTTCCTCCACTGCCTTCAACATTAATAGGTTGGTTCGATACTAGCTGTGGGAAAGGTTGAGGGTTTTTTTGCCCTGTCCATGGTGGAGATTTGGGTTGAGATTGTTTTTAGTGGGAATTATATGGTTATGGAGATGGAGACGATGGAAGCCAACAGAGTTGAGATTGAAGAGAAGGGGCTGGGTCTACAACTCTTAGGTTTTTTTTAAAAGTTTTATTTTATTTTATTAAAGTTTATTTTATTATTTTATATAAAATTAATTTTTTGAATTAGTTAGTGGGTGGGTCCTATATTGGTCTCTTTTTAAATGCTGTTTGGTTATGAAGTGGGTCTCACGACTGCCACTTCAGCATTTAACGTCTGACTTTGACGGTCAATGTAACAGCGGATGTAAATTGGTAATACTTTGAAATGTCGGGTATGAAATTGATTTAATTGAAACCTTGAGGCCCATTTCGATATTGACACTAAACCTCTAGAGACTAAAGTATAGTTAATCCTTATTTTTAATTCTAGGAGGAGATCTGGCCCAGATCATATGGGATGGTGGGTTGGTGCAAGATTATATTTTAATTATTTTTAGAAATTAAGAATTAAAATATACTAAGAAAATCCTATCATGTTTTTGGTTTATGTGAGGTGGCTTCCACTTTGTCAAGTCACCCACTTAAATTGGTGTGTAAATAATCCATGTGTGAAAAAATTACACATATACCCTTGCCACGTCATCAAACTTAATGGACTTTTGGATGGAGTTGACGGCAGGGGGCAACGTGGGACACCAAATGATGCAAAGTGGGTCATGTTAACTTTGAGGGGGCAAAGTAAGATTTGACCAAAGTTTCAAGGGGCACTACAGTAAATAAGCCTTAAAATTATTTTATTTAGAGTGTTGCTATTTTACACCTCCACCTGTCTTATTTTCTCACCTACTTTATTTTCAAAATTTTAAAGACAAATTTACAAATTTGTAAAATGACTTTCAAAGACATTATCAAAACTTGACATGTGTCCATTACTATAACCATACTTAAATATTTACTTTTAAATCATTTAAAGAATCTTAAACCAAAAAATAAAGTACAATAATATAAAAAAAGGCTTAATTGCTACAGTGCACCCTGAAACATTGGTCAATTCTCACTTTATCCCATTAAAGTTAAAAGTGACTCACTTGGCCCCATTGACCAAAGTTTGATGTTCCACAATACCCATTGTTTGCCCGTTCTTGGTTTACTCCTATGATGGAAGGGCAAAGTTCCCCACTGCCTTGAGAACCATAGACTGGTCAATAAGTCAGCTTTCTTTGGTGTGCGAGCGTGCCACTGCTAGTAATAAAAATTCTAGCAGACTTAGTATGGAATGGATAACTTACGCCCCAAGTTACTGATTTCTTAAACAAACGATTGTGAATTTGGGTGAGGAATATCTCCCAAGTAAGTTCTTTTCTTGCCTCAGACTGGTGAGGACTTTAACAATTTATCTCAGTATAAAGAGGTTGTTCTGGCCAGAATGGTTGATGAAATTTAAGCTGTTTTTAGGCGGAACTGCCTTTTACAAAAATATAACAGTGAATACTTATACTAGAGGAAGATGAAGGGACAGCCGGGACTTTATTTCTGGCAGAACTGCAATCTTCTTAATTTGCACGGGCAGGAGTGACGGTTTTTGAGGGCTTCAGTGGGCCAGAGACTGCACTGTGAATTTTGTTGAGGTTTTCCATACTTGGAGGAGACTCAAACCCTGCCTGTCTTGGTTTGCTGAACCAAATTTGTAACGAAAGAAATCTCGTTTTGAATGACTTGTTTCTTAAATATGGATTTTGTGTATCCTGATCTGGAGCTGGTTTCACTTGAAATTCAAGTGGGCTTGTTGGTTGATTTTGAACTTGTCTGTTGACGGTTTTCTTTGTGTAGGATCTTTGTTTGATTGGGTGATGA